TACCTAAATATGTAACATATTATCCTTACATTGCCCCGCGTTCTTATTTTGCATGAATAGAAAATATTTTAGTCAAACAATTAATGTCAGAAATAAAAATAAAAAATTCAATCTAGTACGGAAAATTTGGTTTTGCTCCGATGTTTGCAGTAATTTAGTCCTGAATCCATTTTTGGGGGTCCGAACACTGTTCTTTACATTTGTACTGTTTTATAAACCTCAAGCCGCAGTGTGGACAGCAATAGTTAGTGATGTGGTTAAGTTCGATTTGAGATGGTTAACTTTTTGGTGGGGGCATGGTATAAGAGTACTCAGTTTTTAAACAGTTACTATTAAGGAAATCCGATAAATAGTTATCGGCAATGGTCTGTATTATCGACTTGCACGTTTCTATTCTAGAAGATTCATGCGTCAGACCTTTTGGGTTCGTTTATTCGGTCTTCCACATTTTTTCTCAGTTGAAAATTAAAAGCGCACTTGAGCGAAGTTTCTGCTCGTCGGAGGTTTATCTTGATCGCAGTGTGACCACGTTTCTATTGTGAGTTTAATGACTATATTGTGTTAATTATTCTGGAATTTCTAGTATATTGAATCCAGGAAAAGATAAAGTAGAATACAACAGCTGAGAGTCGGGAGAAAATACCACTTATCAACCCGAAAAAAAGTATTTATTTTAAGCTCAGTACTCGTTGGCAAGGGCAATTATTTAAAAGCTGAAAAGTTTATTGCGTATCTAAAAAACGCAACGAATAGCCGAACGCGTGGAATCGAAGGGATTTTCAAGGGCCATTTAAGCAATCTAGCAAATTTTTACAAGGTAATTTTCGTGTATACGTACCACTAAAAGGAAAGAGAATATTATAGGGGTCATTGTCTTTATATAATGAAATTAGCTTTACAGGCAGAAAAAGGTATATGAAAGCACCTCGTCAGTTCAATAGGTGGAAATTTAAGTTTTGAACTTTGTATTATGGAATGTATAATAACGTAGGACAACTTGTAAATAGCAATTTTAGCGTCTTGAAATTCGGCATAAAATCTATCTCATACGAAGGCGGTGGCGAAGAAAAAAATCGATATTGCAATAGAGTGCAACTATCGAAAGTTTTGCGTTCGTAACTCGTCGTTTGACTGTTCGTACCTGCTAACTTCTACTCGCTGCTTTTATATGCAGTTTTCCCCTCGAACATAGAAACTGCATATTTCTGGATATTTCGTAACATCAAATCTTTGCAAAATTTGTCTATTATTTGGAAACGATCTCTACGTAGATGTGTGGAATAGGGGATGGGGGTTTTAAATATACGACTTTGTATCTACCTGTTCGGGGGATAAAGAGAAAATGGTGTGGCGGTGTCTGCTTTAAGCATAGTCATGGCAGGTAGAAATGAAAATAAACTAAAGTACATAAATAGATTAGTATGTAGTTGTTATTTCATGAATAGGCAAAAATTCTCGTGTACGAATAGTACAAATGGGAATTGGATGTTTTCAGCGATGCAGTCTAAATTGGTTTTTATCTTTCATTATTACCCTTCAAGACGGCTGAGTATCATATGAATGCTCATATTAGCATTATCGNGCAAATAACTCGAAAAGTTATCCATAGAAAAATAGTTAACTTGATTTTCGAAATCACCGAGGAATTGAATAGTGGCATCCGATGAACAAAAAAAAAAATAGTGATCCAGTGTAATTTTTTGAAGGGAGAGTGCTACACCCTAATATACATTTATGTTAAATAATAAGTAAGTATGTTTTATTGCACTTTGTTTTTTTGAAACTGTGTCTGGAACGATAACACAAAAGTTATACCGAAAATAAGAAAAAACTTGAAAAAAAATTCCCTCGTGCACAGACATATTTTTAGGCGCAATGCCACATACTCAACAGTTAGTTGGAAATTTTTACTCACATTTGCTTAAATTTGCATTTATTGTCTTATTTGTGCACGAATTTTGGCAAAAAGTTCCAACAAATACTAGATACTAACCATTGCAAATTGCATTTGGCTGCTGATCACACACGCCTGCCTACATTAGCTTTCCGCACATTGGATTTTGCGGCGTATCAACGAAAATTTAAGCAGACAGCTAGCTGCTGCAATCGTGTAAGCTGTCATTGCTTATATCTGTTACCTTGCTGGGTGTTTGTATGTATGTTTATGTATATAAATTGGTAAGTGGTAGATGGATAAGTTCGATGGCAGTTGGCTAATTCGTTGTGGGAATAAAAGCTGCTGTTTCTATGTATGATGCCCTCTTTCGGGTTAAAAAATTAGACACAAAGTTTTGATGGTTTAAAAACTGGATATAAATTTTTTCAGCTTAAAAACCGATTATAAATTTTTGTGCATTTAAAAACTGGTCATTAATTTGGATACTCATTTTTGGTTATTTAAAAGCTGACCACGTTTTTTTGGTAATTTGATAACCGAACATAAACTTTTTTAGCTTAAAAACTGGACATATGTACATGTTTGGTCATTTCAAAATTGGGCATACTTTTTTTTTTAAGGACATACATTACTGGTAGTTAAAATACTGAATATGTATTTATAATAATTTAAAAAATTGATATTTGTTTTTTGTTATGTAAAAGCTGGACTTACAATGTTGGTAGCTAAAAAGCTGGACACAGTGTTTTGGCTGTTTACATAAGTTTTTGGTAATTCAAAAACTGGCTATACATTTTTGGCAATTTACAAACTGTACATAAATTGTTGGCCATTTACAAACTGGGCATTGATATTTGGTAAGCTTGCAACTGGACATTAATTTATGGTAGTTAATATCCAAAATATGCATTTTTAGTAGTTAAAAAGTTGGCCATAAAATTTTGGTGGTTCCAAAACTGGACATAAATTTTTTTCTACTAATTATAAACCTGGACATATATTTTTATGCATTTAAAAACTGGCCATAAATGTGTATTTGGCATTTTATAAACTGGAAATAAATATTTGCTAGTTTAAAAACTAGACATAAATATTTGAAAATTTGAGAAATGGGCATAAATTTTTGGTTATGAAAAAATTTAAATTCAAAAATTTATTGTATATAATCGGTATAATCCCTCCTCTGCAAAATATAGCGGTAATTATAAATAATTCTTATTTTTATTTAGATGTTCAAGCCCTGCTAAGCTTAACCTTAACTATTGTTAATTACTTATAACAGAATATGTATATAGACGAAAATTGATATCTCTTCGACAATTTTAGTGGAATAAGAGCACTTTATTGAAATTTCTGCAAAACACAAATTAAGTACGTATGTACATATGTACTTAAGTACATATACATTTGTATTTTCCCTCATGCGACATTCCAACGTACCATGAGCTTAAGTGCATCCCATTGTGGGACAACCGCAATAATCTAAATTAACTACTATTCGAATTTCATCTAAGAACTTAAGTGGCAATAATTTTAATAAAATTATGTGATTGAAAAAGAATTACGAAAATGTGCAGTGAAATGCATTGAATATCCTATTCCATTAAAGTGGCGTTCCGCAATTTTCACACATTTCCTAAGTTAATTTGGCCCACTTTATATTGCGGCCTTGAACGACATGCACTTACCGACACACACAGGCACACATACTTTGATATGCGTTTGCGTGCAACAAGAAAAACATCGACAAATCCTACTAACTGAAGCGGACACTTGTGGCAAAAGCATAGTACGATGGCAAAGTACGAGTGCATGCTGTGGCATAAGTTCGAATAGAAATTTTCAACGAGCTAAAAATTGATGCCAAAAAAAGCGACAGTCAAGCTAGAACAGCAATGGGGAGCAGGCATATCAACACACAAACATGTAGACTTGTGGGCATATTAGTTTGTGGCACATGGGCGTCACTCGCTGGCTGGCTGGCTGGCAAATCTGCAGCAGAAGCATTGGTTGCATGATCGCTGATGAAGAAATGCATTGAAACACACACATTTATTTCCTTGCAAAATATAAAAATGCTGTACCAATACATATGCGTGCATAGCGCTTGGTTAGTTTGTGTGTATGTGTGTATACTCACACATTTATATATAAATTTTCATTTAAATGCACACAATTGACATGTCAACTCGACTTGTCGAGTGCTGTATGTGATAAAAATCATAACATGAAGGGCCGTTACCACTATTGCACTCAACTAAAGTCATAGAAAATACTGAAAGACACTAACAAACCACGCTATTTAATGTGCACCACAAAATATTTGAATTATAGCAGTAGTGGACAAAGGCGACAAAGAAATTGTTTTGGCCAGCGTTTGCATTCCTGTAGCCGACAATTATCCAGCAAAGAAAAGCAAAGAAACAACAGCAAAAATTGTATGATGAAAAATAATAAAAGCGTGAAAAATCTAGAAAACTTGCTTGTTGCAACCTGCCAAAGTTAGTTCGACAATTTCAAAACATTCATGCGATCGGCGGCAACTGCCTTTAAATTTTGTAAGCAAAACTAAAATGCAACAAGTAATTTTTCAGCAAAAAACAAAACCGTCTTCAATTATCATATAAAAATATATACGTACATATGTATATACGTGCCACCAGATTAGTATGGGACCTCCTCTGAGACACTACCTTTCCGATGCAAAAAGAATCATCGAAATCGGTTGACGTGGTCCAAAGTTATGCGGTAAAATACATAAAAAAATAAAATAAAATAAATAAAAATAAAATATTCCGACGAACTGATAACCTTCTCCTTTTTTGGAAGTCGGTTAAAAACATAATTGCTTTTTCGCAAGTGTTGGCTATAGCGTCGCGTGAAGACTATTGCTTCTGGTTCCGAGATCGCAAGTTGGAATGCGATTGGAGATGGTTAAGATTTTTTAAATTAAATCAATGTAAGTTAGTGTGAATTATTTAAATTTATGCGCAAAAATCTTGAAAACTACTGAACGGATTCCGACGAAAATTTTTAAAGTAAGTATAACACTGTGATAGTTTCTTTTTCAGAATTTTGTCTCGAAGAGAAATTTTTCATGTGCTAAACCCTAATTATTCAGAACTTTCCTAATTTCCTATTTAAAAAATTGAGCTTTGAGCCCCTTAGGGGATAACCTGAGGAGTGGACATTATATTTACGCTCAAATGCGGTCCAAAGTGCCTCAAAAAATAAAGAAATACATATATAAATAAATTTGGTATGAAAATTTAAAATTTAACCCTCTTTAGAGTGTAGTAAGTGGATTATAGGGAGTGGGAAAGGAGCCGAATTTATTTTGTGTAGTCATTTTCATTTGTAGCGCCCAAAAAAAAATAAAGAAATATTATTTATCTCAACCTTAAATTAATAATAAAATTTCAGTCCCCACTGGTTGTAAGGGGCTGGTAGCGGCAAAATTGTCAATTTAAATAAATGGTTTTGGTCATATTCGTTTTCATAGACCCTAAAAACTTATAACTGGCGGGGTGTACCCTCAGTTTCAAAAATTTTTTTTTGTACCTTGTAATTAATATAGTACTGCTTTCGGATTTACCATCTAAAATACTTATTTTTTAGTGTATGGTATGTTCACAAAAGTCCTAAGATATCCTGAATAATTTTACAAAAAAAATTAAAAAAAAAACACAACCACATGACAGATAGAAAACATAAAGTAGGGTATAGTGCTTGAAAATCTTCCTTTTGAGGCTGAACTTTAGATAAAAAAATTATAAGCAGTACTGCAGAAAGCTTAACAAACTAATGATGC